AGAAAAAGGATACCTGTTGAACACAATGAGTGACCACCTCAAAAAAATTGACCAATCTACTCAAATTGTTCACTTGCCAGTTACCAGAGGTCAGTCCAAAACTTGTAAGACTCATTCACTTGAAACACAGATGATTTTACATGCAAAACCATCTTATTCTTTTGAGGGAACCCGAAAAAAGAAAAGAAAGACCATGTATATAAGATGAAATATTGAAGAGGCTTAGAGATGGGATTGGCATGTTAAAAGTTTTTCTTCCATTTCCAACCAACTGATTGAATGCTCTAAAATGAGGAAAAGAGCAACATTGCATCAAAAATTGTAACAAGTGTTTTGGTTTATAATTAAGAGAGTAAAATGACTAGTGTATTTCTCATTTACAAGTATATAGCTAATCAGATGGCTTTTCTCTGAGTAACAAAATTTTTGAAGCACAAGGCTATGCATCATGATTTTCTCAACTAGTGGTTGTTAAGAATGTTGAGGAGCGAAACTCTAGTTTTGATTAAACGCCTAAACAAGCACTCTAATCTGTCTTCGATATCTTGAATGCTTGATTCCATCTTCCCCAATTGATTTTGTATGCTATCAAATTTCCCTGCCTTCAATGCACCATCAACCTTCTCAAACTCATTCACATTTGTTTCTTCATCTTGGCATGAAACACTCTTGTGCTGGATTAGCTTGGAAACCAAAGACCAACCGCTTTGCCTTGATTGCACACCAACATAGGATAACAAGGATTCAAACACAGCAAGAGTGGCTGCTTCAACCTCTTTTAACATGCTAAAAATGACCACAGTTTCGTTGTCTTTGTCCTTGGGAAGGAGGGTACTTTTATTCTTGATACTTTTCAAATCCTTCAAGGAATTCTGGATAGTTCTCTTCACCATCTTTCTAGAGGCTAAGTATCCGTGGAAGTCATTTGCATCCCTTTTCCTTCGCAGCGTTGAGAGAATGTCTTGTACATCTTGCTTTTTCTGTGAGAAGACATCTTTGGCAGTGGAACACACATCCAAGAGCCTTAGATATCCATCCACCACCTCATCAACAAATTTCTCATTGTGCTCTCGGGCCAAGGCTTGTTCAATATGTGGCAGTAGAAGCAAATCACTGACACAATCATGCAAATCTTTGAGGCCACTCAATTTGTTGCTTATAGATGTCAATGAAGAAGAGGAAGCTTCATGATCTGGAGTTCGTATTCTGCACAAGTGCTCAGGAATGAGTGGATGAGATCTGGAGGGCAAGCTGACAGATCGAGCATGGTAAGGGGCTTTCGATCTCAAAGGAGAAGAAGCCATTTTTCTTTCTAATTAGGAATTAGGCTTTATCAAGGAGATGCACAATTCAATTTTGCAATGTTGTGTTCCTTCCTTGGCATATGTATATATATGCACAATGTATTTCATGGTGGGAAGGAGATAAAGGAATCCTTCTTCTTCAATTATTAGTGCTCCGTTGGCAATGTTTCTGCAATGTCTCCTCCCAAGTCTTTTTAAATTGAAAAATCACATGCACATCTTAACATAATATTGATCCATGCAACAGGGTACAACATGGTCCGTAAAATATGCAATGCACGAGTGGCATTGACATACTGTCTCCTCTTGCAAGAAAATACCAGCACCATTAATCTTCCCCTTCTGCTCTCATCTTTTCAATGTGCAATCAAGCGTGCATGTTCGTTTGTATGCATCTTCTATGTACATTTTCATCTCTTTTTTTTACACAATAATTGTGAAACACTGGCAAATCAAATAGCTTATGAGCTTTTCTTGTTGAGGTCTGGCTCTTTAGGAGACAAAATTATCATCTAACATGTGAATGCTCGCACATGAACACAATTAATTAATATTGTCATGGTACATCATTATGATGCAATCATGTAATCAGGCTTGTCATGTTGCAAAACTGAACGAATGAATTGAACCTAAATAGTGCCATCACATATCAGATGAATTGAAGTCGAAGCTTGTGAGTGGTGACAGAACTAGATTATCAGTGCTTCCAAATGAACAAGTCCTTGAGAAAATTCACACTTGGGCTTATCAGCCACCATGATGAAAAATCATTCTTTAACCAATGTTCAGAGTGATTTTCAGTCAAATTAAGCAGGTATTGAATGTTGTGCTTGTGCACGAGAAGCTAGCCAGCGAGATCCACATGGCTTTCCCACGTCGTTTCATAATTTATAGGGATGGGGTGAGGCTGACTAGCTAACAGAAATTAGACCGTCTTCCAAACAAGGAGACAACCAACACTTTTTGGTTTCTTAAACAATATTAGAGTTGAAAGTTGAACCACCATGTGAATCTCAAAATTTTTTTAATTAGTGTTCAATCATCCCCTTCAGACAATTGGAATCTCTGACATCTTTGAAATCATTAAATTACATAAAATACTTTTTTGAATCAAATGAAAAGGGTCTCGACTGTGAATCTACGATTCATGTTGTTAACCTCAATTTTTTCACCTTCTTCATTGACACAAATTTGAATTTTTGAGGTTATTTAATACATGATATGCTTCTTTCACTTTCATTTTTATCATTAAAATTTGAAAACTAACAAAGATGGCACCAATTACCACATTTATCTTCAAGTGATTAACGAATAAATGATCTAAGAACAGAAAGAAGTAATGTATATATACGCAATAATTTGCACCGATTGAGTATATTGATTTATAATTAGAGGACAATTTACAAGTATATTTCTCATTTACATTTCAAGTATCTGTGACATCAAGATTTTCTAGGCTAGTGGTTGAGAATGTTGAGGAGAAAAACTCTGGTTTTAATCAAACGCCTGAGCAAGCGCTCTAGAATTCCTTCAAGATCTTGAATGCTTAACTCAAACTTTTCAAGCTGGTTTTGCACAATTTTGTTGTCATCAGATTTGCTTGGCATGTGACTGATGAGCGACTGCACTGCAGCATCAACCTTTTCAAACTCATTGATAACTGTATCTTTGGCTTGACAAGCCACAGTACTCTTCTGGTGCATCAGTTTGGAAACCAAAGACCACGCGCCACTTCTCTTTGAGTGCATCTTTGATCCCGCAGCATAGGACAAGAAGGACTCCAATACTGCCAGAGTGACTGATTCAACCTCTTTCAATATGCTAAATATGACAACAGTTTCATGGTCTTTATCCAAGTCTAGAATCATGTTTTTGTTTTCAATGCTCTTCAAATCCTTGAGCAAGTTTTTCATGACCTTCTTCGCCTTCTTTCTAGAGGTTAAGTATCCCCCAAAGTTACTAGCATCCCTTTTTCGACGCAGGATTGAAAGAAGTTGTTTCACATCTTCCTTTGACTCTGAGAAGACGTCTTTGGCGGTTGCACAAACATCCAAGAGTTTGAGGTATCCATCCAACGCCTCATCAACCTGTTTCTCATGGAATTTTTGGGCCAAGCTTTGTTGAGTGTGTGGTAGTAGAAGCAAATCATCCACACAGTCGTACAAATCTTCAAGGCCGCTTAATGTGTTGCTTATTGATGGCAGTGAGCAAGAGGTAGATTCAGAAGACCTCACTCGACACAAATGATCATTGAATTGGGGAATGAGAGGATGAGATCTAGAGGGCAAGCTGACAGAGCGAGCATGGTAATTTGATCTCAAAGAAGAGGAAGCCATTTTTTCTTTCTGAATTCAAAACCACTGAGTTGTGTTGTGTTGTGTCCCTTCCCTTGGCAATGTTATCAATATATATATCATGGGGGTGTAGGAGACATAAGGAATCTCATTCTCTTCAGTTATGAGAAAATGGTAACATGGCTAGGAAATTGGATCTAAATGATTATATTGGCGATGTTTATGCAACGTCTCCCCACCACGAGGTTCCAAACTACCAACTCAAATTTCTTTTCTTTGAAATCACTGGCATATCTAAGCATCAATTGTGGTAGTGGATTGAATAATCCATAAAATTGTGATGCACGAGTGGCACAACACTCTGTTTCCTTCAGAAGAAAAATGGCAGCACCGGACAAGAGGAATCTCTCAACCTCTGGATCAACTCTTCACGAGTGCTATAGCATGTGATCTTGATTTGATCTCAACACTATCTCTCAGTAAATATCTATGCAATGTCACCTTCCCACCAGGTGAAAACAAAATATGCAGCACGCGAGTGCAGTGGACACCTTGCCTCAAAATATTATTAATTTATTATGATCAAGGTGATCATTCCAATTTGGTTTGTTATTGGTTTTCACACACATTTTTACTAACACTTTTCTCATTGGCATAATTGATTACTTTCTATTTATCTTTTTTTGGACAAAAAAGTAGATGTGGCAAAAACAGACAGATTTTGGGTGGGTCAAAAATAGGCTTTGCATTTAAAGCAAACCAACCCAAACCCAAACTCAAACCCACCAATTTAATTAACGGGTTTGAATGAGTTTGAAAAAATCAAATACAGTTTTAGTAAATAAACCCAATCAATCCATTTACAATAATTGTGGTGGAGTAGCAACGACGGCGATTGTGGTGGTGGTGGTAGTGGTGGCATAAGTGGTAGTGGATTAGTGGTGTTGGAGTGGCGGCAATGGTGATGGTGGAAGTGCGACAGTGGTGGTGTTGCAGCAATGGTTACAGTGATGATGGAGTGGCAACAATAGTGGTGGTGGTGGTGGTGGAATGGTGGCAGTGACAGTGGTGGTCGTGGTGTTGGAGGGCACCTGTTTCGAACAGGTACCTTGCTTATGGAATTAGATGAGCTTGAAAAGGGTCTAAATAATTTTGTGTTTTGGTGATTAAAAGAAAATCTCATTTATGGTCTTTTTCCTTTTTTTCTTTCTGAACAAGTTTGCAGCAATATAAAACATGTTTCCCTAATAAACATTCATTCAACAGATGCTAGAGAAAAGCAGACACCTTCCAGTGCTTTGCCGCCTATGGGAAATTTAACTTTTCCACCCTTAAACCCAAAATTACATAGCGAAAAACATGTATAACATTTTGGAATTGCTTTCTTGCGGAAATGACACAGTTATACCAGAATCATCCTGCTCAACAATCATATTGTAATTTATGGGCTCAAGTATGTTTTTAACAAGATTAAAATGATAGTTTCTCATCAACTGGTGCAAAAGCAAACCTTCTGTTAATGCAAAGAACATGTATTGCCCCTATAATACATTTGCTATTGAGAAGACAACTTCAATTCCCTACTCAAGATTTCACTAACTCAGGGAAGTGTTAAGAACAATAGGTGTGGTGATGAATCAATTTATTTGGGATTAAATACGTCAAATTCTCATGATCCTCTCATGCCCTTTTGCTTCTTCTCTTCAAGTACAGCAGCTTCATTCAACATGTCAGCGGCATCCTGGTGCATGTCGAGCTTGGCAAGGGCAACTGATTGCATGTAAAAGGCTGTTGACCAGTCTGGGTGGACATTTTGTGCTTGCATTGCATCTCGAAGAGCAGCGTCAGGTTGATCACATAGGAGATAACATAGGCTTCGCCGTGCATAAACTGTTGGGGAGACCATGGTTCCTACATCTATAAACTGCACAGGCAACCAAACAAAATGAACCACGGAGAACATCACATCCCTAGTTACAATCTTTGGTTCATTCAAGAGTTGAATTTGTCAATCCCCTAAAAAAGAATGCATAAAATTGAACATGGGAGAGAGGAAGGGCATCGCCAACAGTGAACTGAACTAGAAAAGAACATTAAGGCTGTGTTTTGATCTTGGATTTGGATAGCAATTTATGGAGGGAAATGTAAACTACACCAAGTTTAGTCCCCCATTTGATGGGAGTCTGGGAGGGGTTGATTGGGTAAAGGCCTAACCGTTGGCATAATTTGCACTAAGTGACCCATCTAACCTTTAGCAAGGAAATGTGGAGGGGGGGGATACTTATATTTCATTCACATTTCCATTCTCTTGTATTTTCCCTCCCAAAATTCCTCCCAAAATCCAAACACAGCTTAACAACTTAGGAACTGTGTTCCAGTTCTCTAGTGATCTGGCAATCAACCATCCAAGGGAAAAGGCATCAGCTGAAGGAGCTAGATTATAAAGTGGGTTGACCTATAAGCAGAAAATTTCATGGCATGTTCTCAGCCTAAGAATATTTATTCTCCACCACAAGTTAAACAAATCCGTACCTGAGAATACAAGTCGATGGCAGTTTTAAAATCCTTGTCACGAAATGCCAAGTCCCCACGCTTCCTTGCCTCCAGCATATCTCTCATCTGTTGGGTCCACTCCTGGAAAGATAACTGAACCAAACCACAACCACAACCACATAAACCTTAGCATAGAAATTAAAAGTGCATTGACATGTGAGGGAGCCCTCTTGTAAAAGTCAATTACCTCATTGGTTCCTTCATCATCCCGGTAGTGTGTCATAACCAAGATTTGATGGATTGCTGTGAGGTCCATCCGTGAGCAGGCCTCACCCATTGGTGAAAGAGGGCGCTGTGGGGTTGGTGGGGCTTCCTCATGCTTTGAAATCCCAAGCATGACATAAGAAGGAACCTAAAAAGCACATTGATACACCTCAGACAGTTGTTTTAGCAGGTGAAGCCAACTGCAAAAAGTAGAGGAGCTAAAAGGCTAGTTGCGAAAAGGTTTCATCCTATATATTGTAAATATTTTAGTCCTAGATATAATTTTCATCAAGTGAAGTCAGGAGTGATTCAGTAAATTTACTCCACATATGATGCATAATGAGCATTAAATTTGAGTATAATGAATCATGAGATGTTTACAGAAACAAGGCATACAACTGTTGCTAGTTGCAGGCGTGCTAACAAAAATGATCAAAATTACGTATGAGCGTGATCACCATTCATAGTAATTCTTTATAACATACATTGGTCATGTATGTTTCAGGGGAATAGACTAGGAGAGATAAGTAATACCACAAGTAACCATGGAATTTTTATATGGGAATTAAATGTACTATGGGATTGTTTGGGTTTTACAGTGACCCTTGGAGGTTGGAAGGAAGATAACCATGTTTATAACTGATATTATCAGTTTTCGGGTTTTTGAGCCCATGACCAAACCTCAGCTAGAACAGAACCAACCCAACCCATAAAGGCTAGGTTGATTTGGCTCACGGATCGTTCAATTCTTTTGTGCACCCATTTGTATGATCATAGTTGCCAGACAAATACTCCTATTTAGCAATATCAGAAAGTATCGAAAAGGATCACATTCAGTTTATGTCAAAGGGCACAGATTACATAGTCATTGATTTGCAACACAAACCATTTTGAAATCACAAAATAAGAGGGGAAGAGGACGGAGGAGGTGTTGCCAGGTCTGTGAAGAGTTAGAGACTCTATCCCTTCCATGGCTTCACTTGGAAAGCTATTCTCCAACAATTTGAGCTTCTCCGAATTGTTAGATAAGATTTAGTAAAATATATAATTTAATATTTTTAATTAGAGAGAAACCATCTAGCTGATGAATCACCAAAGTAAAAAGGTAATCATATTGGAAAGCCATGTGGACAAATAATGGTAAAAATGTGTGGTTATGATTCCTGAAGATTAAAGAGCAATGTTACTTACATCAGATTTTGTTTGCAGCGGAGTAAGTGTCGCAACAAGGTCCTTAGTACTAGGCCGCTCTCTAGGTTCATGTTGCAAACATTGCGAGGCAAGACCAACAACAGCTGTTGCTTCTTCTGTAGAAAACTTTCCCTCCAAATGTGAATCCATTAAGAGAATAATGTTCTTGCCACGTATCATATCAAGAGCCTGCATACATCAGAGAAAATTAAATTAATATTTGAACACGTATCTTGTTTCAAGGTAGGTAAAATTACAAGTAGATGTCACCATCATTGAAGGCATGCAACAAGAATAAAATGAAAAATCATAAGGAACCTTTTGATATGTATTATGTAGCACATCTTTTTATGTTGTTTTATTTTAAACAAAGATCATAAGGATAAAATAAGACTGGCTGGAATGCCTCCCCATGCCCTCCACTCAAAATCTAATTTGGAATTTATTTACTTATTTTTTTTATTTATTAATGTCACACAAACATTTCTACAATCAATTTCTAATATCCGTATCTCCCCAATCCTTAATAAATTATTTATTTATTATTATTATTATTTTTGGGGGGATAAATCCCCAATCCTTAACAACAATAACAAAAACAAATCTGATGTAGCACAAGAGTGGATAACCAAGAACACACGCAATTATTATAGTTGGAGATCACTTTTCTAAGCTTACTATAATCCTCATGAGGACAACACTGATCACATTCATGTATCTTGTCCCTCTCATCAAACTTAGCAATCTACTTCAGACCATGCTATGATATTTATTAGCCCTTTTAGCTTACTTTGTGAAGGTTCACAAGAACCAAATTTCAGATTCTGAAAAAAATTTCGTCCCACAACAACAGACAAATGGAGGTGATGATTTTTCCCAAAAGGTTTGAAAACGAGTGCAATATATTTAATTGATACCCATGTCACGTAAAGCTTAATCACTTTCCTCACACTAGTGTTTTTGGAGTTCAACCTTCTTCCAAAACCAGTATTGATGTTCACGACGCACATTCAGTGACATGTTTGTGTAAATATAAACACACTTGTCTGGTGAAAAATCAAGGTAGAGTTCAAAAATCATGATTAGTGCAAAGAGATTTTGAAGGCTTGATGAAAACTGCAAGGACAAGTTCTTCATATGGGGTGGATAACACTACTGTAAATGCAGAGGGATTTGTGAACCTACACTTTGGCATACAACTTTAAGATGGATGAGATTTTGAGAAGCAGATATTTAATTATTAACTTATTAAATAAGGTTTAGTTCAAATCAGTTAGAAGAGAATTTCAAGAATTATTAACTGATCTTAGCTACTGTTATTTGAATTTTTTGCCAAGTCTACATCTATACAGAATGTTGTTAAACATAAAAAGAAACTCACATGACTTGGAGGAATGTGCTTTCCACTTAGTAGATCCAAAAGGACAGTTCCAAAACTATATATAACACTTTCAGGAGTAACCCTTCCTACAACACAGGATATGTAATTCAGTAAGTATAAACCAGAGCCACAAAAGAAAGGTTAGTCAGAGTATTGAAAACAAGAAATAATTGCTTTAACATGATTACCAATTGAATCTAGAGAAAAAATGAACCCACCATTTCGTAGATACTCCGGAGGTGTGTAGGCAAGATTTGTGCTGTAGCTTTTCCCGTCCCTACTATTTTTCATCAAACCAAAACATGAAAGCCGTGGATCACCATCCTACAGAGGCCATCCAAATATTAGATAATCACCCTATATGACAGAAAGTCGAAAAAATAACATCACTAAAGCAAAAGTAATAGTAAACTTTAAAAAATGTATTAGGATTTAATTCACGACACCTCCTCAAAGAGAACCCTATAAGCATTCAGGTCGTGGTACAATGGACGACCTTCGGAGCTGCAATAGTCCAAGGCTTCAGCTATATAAAGTGCTACTCTCAAACGCATGGCCCACTCAATGGTCTGATTTTCCCCTGTAAGAAAAAACAAATACCAGAAATCAATCCAACATAAATGGAAATGCATACACTAATTCTCAGTTTTGAAGCTAGAGAGCCATATATAAGTAGCAAAGCAAATTGATCTCTACCATAAAATTTAACAGGGACAGAAAAAAAGAAAAAAATGATAAATAATACTAAATTAGAAGAAAAACAATTCTGCACAATAAAACACCACAAGCTTCCAAAATTACTTGTATATACACGAAACAAAAAATATTGACTAGCATTTTAACCAAGTGAAACTATACATCCAAAATCAGCTAAGATTCAATATGGCATACATTTATTATTTCATTAGATTCATCCTAACGCTGCAGAGTAATGGATTATAATCATCGACTGCCAAACACCTATGAGGAGCACAAATGCAAACCTAATCTAATCATGGAGTAATTAGGATCCACCAAACCACTGAATACAAATAAATGTAAATCCAACACAAGCATCATCCCATTTTGAACTGGACATAGAAGTATGTTTAGTTGGAGATGCAAATGTATCCACATTACCACCCTTCTCTCCAAACCCTTTGAACCAGAAAAACAATTCTGCACAATAAAACACCACAAGCTTCCAAAATTACTTGTATATACACGAAACAAAAAATATTGACTAGCATTTTAACCAAGTGAAACTATACATCCAAAATCAGCTAAGATTCAATATGGCATACATTTATTATTTCATTAGATTCATCCTAACGCTGCAGAATAATGGATTATAATCATCGACTGCCAAACACCTATGAGGAGCACAAATGCAAACCTAATCTAATCATGGAGTAATTAGGATCCACCAAACCACTGAATACAAATAAATGTAAATCCAACACAAGCATCATCCCATTTTGAACTGGACATAGAAGTATGTTTAGTTGGAGATGCAAATGTATCCACATTACCACCCTTCTCTCCAAACAGTTTGAACCACTCACGCAATTGTCCTAAGTACTCGAAACATAAATTAAAGCAGAAGTAAACAAACTCAAACAGTTACTTCACTAGTTTAATTTGAATGCCTATTTGTCAAAAGATTCAACAAACTACCCAAATCAAATTTACACATTCACTGGAAAGACTAGCCCAAAATATATAAAACCCATCAACATAAGCGCTAAAGCAAATCTTGAAAACATAAATTAACAAAACAAAAGTCCCAAATGCAATAACTCATTGTACATACAGTGAAATAGATGCTTAGCAAGAGAGTCATTAGGCATGTACTCTGCAACAAGCAATCTCTCATCACCATCACAACAATACCCAATCAAATTTGCAAGTCTTCGATGCCGCAACTTTCCAACACCCCAAGCCTCTTCCTAAAGAAACCCATCAAAATTAGTGACAAAATACAAACAAACCCAACAAACTAAAGCAAACAAGGTTACAATACCGCAAATTGCTTAGGGTCAGGCCAAGCCAATTTCGTGAATTTCTTGACGGCGATCCACCGGCGGTTCTGTAGGCGGCCCTTGTAGACAAGATTGGGGGCCCTTTCGCCGCTTTCGGAGACGATGTATTCGGGGCTGAAGTTGTTAGTGGCGGCTTTAAGGTCCGAGAAAGAGAACTCCGAGAAGGAGGGAACTCCGGTGTCTGGTCCGCCGGAAGGCGGTGGGTGGACGAAAGGTGGGTTTGTGCTCTGCGGCGGCTGTTGGTGGTGGTGGTGGTGGTTGTCCTTTTCTGGGTGTGTCTCTGCCAGCAACGTCGATTCACAACAACCCATGTCTGAGTAAGTCTCAGAGTTGTCCTCAACTGGCCAGAGGAACCATTTTACAGTGAAAAAATTGTAGAGAGAGGAGAGAGAGAGAGAGAGGCAATGGGTATCTCACCCAGTTGTTTCACTTTATCGTTGTTGTTGTCTCTCTTTCTCTTTCTCTTTCCAATCTTTGACACTGGTGACAGTGATAAATCTTGAATTACAGTGTGCTGTGGTGTGTTGTTGGGGTTAGTAATCTGGTCTTCAAAGTTTCAAACAGTTTTTCTAAGCTTGGGATTGGGTTTAGTTGAGAAGGGTGATTTAGTGGCTCATAAATAAAGCATGATTATGATTTAATAATAATCACTCTTTTAAATGTGCTAAAGAAGAGCATCTTTTGCTTTTCTTTGCTGATGATAGTTAATGCTACTTTAATATATTATTATATTAAAATGTGTAGTTGATACAATCACATATACTGGATTAATAATAATTGTATATGAAACTTATGTAATTGTTGTTAGCACTTCTTTTTTTTCCCCCCCTTTTTTTTTTCTCAAATTATTTTGGTGACATTACAATAATTCTCTTTGTTGTACTTTCTCCATCTTTTTCATTATTGTTATTAATAAAATACTTTGCATAATTACAAAAATGTTACTATTATACCTCTAACTAACTTTTATTTGTAAAATCATTTCCTTGTGGTAACGTTACTCTGACAAATTTAGAATAAGCCAAAAAAATAAGTATTAAAAAAAATGTACAAACAAATATTAAGATGTTATTTGATAACGTTTATAATTTTTTATTTATAAAAATATGTTTAGTACATATTTTGTTCTAAAAACAAGTGGGAGAGATAACTAATCGAAAGGTGGTGATCAAAGATAGTTGTCAATAGTTAAAGATGGTGAGTAGAGATGGTTGATTTATGGTTGAAGATGATAGTTAACTTGCAAAAGTAATAACCAAAAGCAGTTTTTTGTGAGAGAGGATGGTCGTCTTTGATTAGAGATAGTTGATAGCATAGGATGTGGTGGCTAGGCATGATTTTCAGAGGAGGTCACCAATAACAATGGCTGAAGGTAGAGTCAATCACACATGGTGGCAATGAGAAGTGGGTCGTAATTGAAAGGGATGGAAAGATGATGGAATTTTTTTTTTCCTTTCTAACAAAGTGAAATCAAATTATTTATTTTTATTGCGGTTATAAGATTTTAATAAATTTATAAATTATTTACAATTTTTTAAAAAACCAAAAAAAGGCATTTAATGAATTTTATTTTTTTATAAATATAAACTAAAAATAGATAAATACAAATATTATCGAACATGTTGTAAATAAACACTTATCTTCTAGTTTAGATTTACTATTAGGCTGTCATTGGATACCAAAATGTGCCATCACAAAGATTGGGCAATGTGTTGATATTAAGTATCTTTACACGTTTTATTTACTGTATGGAGACTGATTGGAGGCATAGATACATACATATATATTCTCAGAAAAAGAAAAACAAAAACAAAAACAAAAAAAGACCAAAAAAAGAAAAAGAAAAAGAAAAGAAGAAGATTGTTCTGATATTTGGAATCACAACACTAATAATAATGACATGCCGTGCATCACCCAGAATGGACAGGACAGAATTCCCTTTCAATTTTTACACATCATATGGACACCATGATCTCCAAATAAACAAAAATATACTAAACAAACTTATCTGGACGACGTGGATTCCTACCCCAAGCCTCTTCCTAAAGAAACCCATCAAAATTAGTGACAAAATACAAACAAACCCAACAAACTAAAGCAAACAAAGTTACAATACCGCAAATTGCTTAGGGTCAGGCCAAGCCAATTTCGTGAATTTCTTGACGGCGATCCACCGGCGGTTCTGTAGGCGGCCCTTGTAGACAAGATTGGGGGCCCTTTCGCCGCTTTCGGAGACGATGTATTCGGGGCTGAAGTTGTTAGTGGCGGCTTTAAGGTCCGAGAAAGAGAACTCCGAGAAGGAGGGAACTCCGGTGTCTGGTCCGCCGGAAGGCGGTGGGTGGACGAAAGGTGGGTTTGTGCTCTGCGGCGGCTGTTGGTGGTGGTGGTGGTGGTTGTCCTTTTCTGGGTGTGTCTCTGCCAGCAACGTCGATTCACAACAACCCATGTCTGAGTAAGTCTCAGAGTTGTCCTCAACTGGCCAGAGGAACCATTTTACAGTGAAAAAATTGTAGAGAGAGGAGAGAGAGAGAGACGCAATGGGTATCTCACTCAGTTGTTTCACTTTATCGTTGTTGTTGTCTCTCTTTCTCTTTCTCTTTCCAATCTTTGACACTGGTGACAGTGATAAATCTTGAATTACAGTGTGCTGTGGTGTGTTGTTGGGGTTAGTAATCTGGTCTTCAAAGTTTCAAACAGTTTTTCTAAGCTTGGGATTGGGTTTAGTTGAGAAGGGTGATTTAGTGGCTCATAAATAAAGCATGATTATGATTTAATAATAATCACTCTTTTAAATGTGCTAAAGAAGAGCATCTTTTGCTTTTCTTTGCTGATGATAGTTAATGCTACTTTAATATATTATTATATTAAAATGTGTAGTTGATACAATCACATATACTGGATTAATAATAATTGTATATGAAACTTATGTAATTGTTGTTAGCACTTCTTTTTTTTCCTTTTTTTTTCTCAAATTATTTTGGTGACATTACAATAATTCTCTTTGTTGTCCTTTCTCCATCTTTTTCATTATTGTTATTAATAAAATACTTTGCATAATTACAAAAATGTTACTATTATACCTCTAACTAACTTTTATTTGTAAAATCATTTCCTTGTAACGTTACTCTGACAAATTAGAATAAGCCAAAAAAATAGGTATTAAAAAAAATGTACAAACAAATATTAAGATGTTATTTGATAACTTTTATAATTTTTTATTTATAAAAATATGTTTAGTACATATTTTGTTCTAAAAACAAGTGGGAGAGACAACTAATCAAAAGGTGGTGATCAAAGATAGTTGTCAATAGTTAAAGATGGTGAATAGAGATGGTTGATTTATGGTTGAAGATGATAGTTAACTTGCAAAAGTAATAACCAAAAGCAGTTTTTTGTGAGAGAGGATGGTCGTCTTTGATTAGAGATAGTTGATAGCATAGGATGTGGTGGCTAGGCATGATTTTCAGAGGAGGTCACCAATAACAATGGCTGAAGGTAGAGTCAATCACACATGGTGGCAATGAGAAGTGGGTCGTAATTGAAAGGGATGGAATTTTTTTTTCCTTTCTAACAAAGTGAAATCAAATTATTTATTTTTATTGCGGTTATAAGATTTTAATAAATTTATAAAATTATTTACAATTTTTTAAAAAACCAAAAAAAGGCATTTAATGAATTTTATTTTTTTATAAATATAAATATTATCGAACATGTTGTAAATAAACACTTATCTTCTAGTTTAGATTTACTATTAGGCTGTCATTGGATACCAAAATGTGCCATCACAAAGATTGGGCAATGTGTTGATATTAAGTATCTTTACACGTTTTATTTACTGTATGGAGACTGATTGGAGGCATAGATACATACATATATATTCTCAGAAAAAGAAAAACAAAAACAAAAACAAAAACAAAAAAAGACCAAAAAAAGAAAAAGAAAAGAAAAGAAGAAGATTGTTCTGATATTTGGAATCACAACACTAATAATGACATGCCGTGTATCACCCAGAATGGACAGGACAGAATTCCCTTTCAATTTTTACACATCATATGGACACCATGACCTCCAAATAAACAAAAATATACTAAACAAACTTATCTGGACGACGTGGATTCCTTTTAACATATTATGGCACCTATTCGATAAATTGTTTCTTTTCATTCTTTAAAAAATAAAATTTGAAAAAGATATAAATTCAGAATTTTTACTATGAAATTTATTCAGAAACCAAGTGTATGGTGTAAATTGAAATTTGATGTATTGTGAATCACAACCATATTGAATCTTGTCCAAACAATTTGAATTTTGAATTTTTTGAGTATTTTTTCCAATACTATTGCTGAATTTTTTATTTTTATTTTTTTTCTTTCTAATTTTGATTTGTGAGATGTGCATTTTTTATTGCTTCTAAAGAACAGATTAAAAGAACACTCAATTGCCTATGTAGAGAGAGCATTCCATGTCAAATTGTCGGAGAGGAATGGGCCAAAAGGCATGAGTAACACGAGGGATAACTAAGAACATCAATAACAACAACCAAAAAAAATGCAAAAATAACCTTGAAACGAAACCCATTAATGGTGTCAGATTTTTTTCATCAATCTCAAATTGGCTGTGCTCAGTTTCGTTTTCAAAATCTGTTTTTTCAAAAAATAATCAAACAAACAAAAATGATATGAATTCAGACAAAGTACAATATACAATAAAAACTCTCTATCATTCTGTATAATATTTTTGTAAGTTTAGTTTAACACTAGTCATTCAAATTTTAATTTTGAGGCCAAACCTATACAAGGAAACAAAAGGGGAACAAGCCAAAGGAGAGGCTGTTGTGATTGGGAGATATATGATGCCAAAGGAATAGGAGATGTGTCTTTTCGATCATCCACCAAGTTGTTGTGCTAATTAATATATTATTGGGAATTTTTCTTTAAGATTCCTGATATTAAGATTTTATAAGATAAAAGACATATAATATTTTCATAATAATTAAGGTCCCTCAATATTTCTACAGAAAAAATTTGACTCAGAGAAATTTTTCTAGACTCAGAGAAAATTCAATTTTTTAAGATTTCTTTGTGATTATACTAGAGAAATTTTCTCTGAGTCGGTGTCAAAAATTTCTCTTAGTCAAATTTTTTCTATGACAATGTTAAGAGACCTTAGTTAATAAAGAAAAATATTTTGAACCTCTCCCACTACACAAAATTATAGAAGAATGTTTCACTATTTTTTCTTATATTATTACCATGCCCTTCATAGCACATTTTATTGGACACTACTAAAAACTAGCATGCCTAGTTTTATCCTCTTAATCACTATCACAGCTTGAAAACATGTCTGATTAGTTAGGCCAGTCCAGGCCTCAACTGCAAACCCGCATCATCAAAAACAAAGTTTTTTTCTTTTTTTTAGGACCAAATTTTTTGAAGAAAATGGAAGAGAAAGACATTGTCCATCTCAATTATTTGAACAGAATCCCATCATCATGTCTTAAAACAAATATAAAATTCTATTTCAAAAAAAAGAAAAAGAAAAAAAAAAAGACTATAATTTACAAACCTAGCATTCTAACTAAACGGGCATAGTTTGCAATTAAAAAGTTTGTAAATTAAGGTATCACTAAAATTTTTATAAAAATATATATATAACCTTACGAGATGGTTATTAAATTTTTCAATGAAAATAAGGAGACAAATTCGAATAATTTTAAAATATTTTTAATTGCTAGTAGTTTTCAACACTTCAGGGGCCCGCCACCCGATAGGTCCATTCCTAGTTGCGTAATGGTATGTCCTTCGCAGTAATGTTTAGTTGGTGTCCACATATCCCTTTGCCAGCCCAAATGAGTCCCACCCAGCACAAACTCCCTTCAGCTTTCCCTAGAAAGTGGCCTCTTGGCAAAAGAGATTACTAACCAAGCATCATCCACTTATGTTTGGATGGAAGGAAAGGAAAAAGGGGAGGAAAGAATGATCTCTTTTATTTTTTTTAATTTTAAATTTTCAAGATATCAATTCCAACCATCTATTTATCTTTGTTACCTTGCCTAACCATTTTTTTTTTTTTTTGGTGACCCCTCTGGTGCTTTTGACCTGTTGTTAATACTAACTTCGAACTTCACTGCACTAGATCACCACCACAATCTAACAACCATTCACCAAATCAGAATCACCCATCTCAACACTTTCATGGACTTGACCACATGAAAACAGACCCACCACTACCGCTCCCCTTCCACCACCATCGCTCCCCATCTCCCATCCCCTCAAACCCACCACTCATTCTCTCTTATTTAGCACAACCACCATGACACCTCCCCTTCCCCATCTCCTTATGCAGCCGGTACTACTCTTCCCCTTCCATCGACACCCCCTCCCTCCCTTGCCCCTGCTGCCACTACTACCCTTAATTTGTCACAAAGGTTTCCCTAGGAATTGTGTAATTTCCCCCCAAGTTTTTTCATTCTCAACTTTCAAAAAATAAAAAAAAATTCAATTTTTGAGAGTCCAACAGCCCTCTAATGGGTAACCTTAATATGTTCAACAAAAAGAATTATGTACAATAATTTAGCATGATTATTAAGAACTAATATTTGGGCATTTCCATGACTTGCGTCACTAAACAGTTAATATGACTAAAAGATTCATCACCAAGTCATCCTAAATGCAAAATTGAAGGATTAACCTGCCTCTCCAAAGGACTCCAGGCCATATGCCCAAGCCCAAATTGATATTGAATTCTAGATGCATTCCCTTGACCTCTTTCCATGCAAAGCTAGTTTCAGTGCCAGTCTTCCAGATCACTGACAAGAGGAGGCTTGAGTGCACTAATGTTTCACACAGCAACAGCAACAACATCAACAGGTCCCCGTGGGCAAACAGAGACAGTACAAGCATTGCCCCACTGTGTGGCCTGCTACAGCTTCTGAATCCGCATCTATCAACTTTGGTATATCAAGGCAATTTCTTACTAGATACAACTTCACCCATTTCTCGCTTTTTCTTCACATGTATAAACACAGGACTTTTAACCCACAAGATTTCATCTTTCCATATATAAAAAAAAAACGCCATTCTCCATGGATACGAGCCACCAATGCACAGCCAATGATGTGAGAATCTCGGCCAAAGCAGCATGCAACCATTTCATTGCAGAACCAAATCAAGGAGCAAATATTTTTAAAACTTAAATCATTTGCCCCTCAATAATCTCAAGCTTCAAACAATCCCTCAAAAATCAAATCATCCACTCACAAAAGAGATGAAGCAGTTTCAATTCACTGACACCCTATGAAACTCTCTCTTTCTCCTGAGCAAGTTTATCATCTTCAATACGTTGCAATAACTCCTCATATGCTTCCAAGGACTTTGCTGTGAACTTTTCCATGGCCTCAAAAATATGTTGCAGACTAACCTGCAGATTATTAGTTTTGCTAGTGTCACTCTGATAAACATGTCCACCTATTGAAAGACCATTGCTATCCCCAGAGACCTGAACTATTCTTTTTTCCAATGCCTGAATCTCCTTTTGCATCTTCTGATCCTCCCTCTCCAAGTTCTTGACTTTCCTCTCCATATCCCTGTTGTTCACCATCATCCTCTGGTGCATATCTAGCTTATCCTGCTTCCACAGCTGAAGCACACACGTGGCAAAATCTCGCATAGAATCAACCACTTCTTTCTCAGAAATTCCATCCAATGCTTGTGACCACTGATTGCAGAGTCCAA